CAATAAATGTGGTATACCCAAATTTGGAGAAAGAAAAGAAAAGAAAAAAAGCTACTGGAGTATCACTATTTATTTATTTAGGTCTTGTTTTGTTTTAAAAACAAGGGAGGAAAGCAAGAAAGAGAAAGAAATGAGATGTAAGGTGAAAGAATGGCCACGAAGAAAATCCCAGGTTGATGGAAAGGAGATCTTGGAATGGCAGCTGTGAACCAGCAGTGGAGGGAGATAATCTGTGTAATTCAGGATAAAGAGAGAGATACTGATTTTGATTTTGCTGCAGGGACTTGAGAACTGTAGATGTAAGGTAATAGCATTCAGTAGGCCAGGCAGCTCCAGTGGAGGCTCCATCAAGAACATGGAATTAATATGATTACCTAAGATGAATCAGTGTGTTGAGAGGAGCTTTAGAACACTGGTGAAGAGTTTGGGGTTGAAAAGTAAGCAAAAGCAAACAAACAAAAAATACTTTATTCCAGGGAAAAGAAAACATTGAACTGGAGCAGAAAAATGATTATTAAGTGGCTTGCCTCTGGTAGCATACATAGCCATAAAGATATAAACAACAGGTGTCTCTCTGTTCAAAATTATGATATAGTTATACAAAGAGGATGGAGGGTGGGGAACATGCATGTGTGTGCTGGTCAGGGGCTGGAAAGAGAGTGAGGTCCTGATCTTTCATAGTGAGAAGATCAGGGCTTCTTCATATTTTTTTTGTAAGGGTATTCACAGAAAAGGGTAATATTTGTCTAGCGCATGGCTGAACTAGAGGGATTTGAAGCTCCTAATGGGTCTACTTGCTACTCAATGTAATCTTCTATGAGTCGTTGACTTTTTAAATTTTGAGTGTATAACTGTAATTATTAAAACCTTAAAAATGACTACTTTGGTTGCATGCATGGCAAGACAAGTTAACACATTAAACTGAAAAACGATGTGTTAGATTGAATTATTAACTTGATTTTTCCTCCTTTTTCCCCTGGGTGGCACAAATAGTTAAGTGCTTGACTACTAACTAAAAAGGTTGATGATCTGAACCCACTGAGAGGCACTGCAAAAGAAAGGCCTGCCAAGCTGCTTCTGAAAGGTCCCAGCCATGAAAACCCTATGGAGCACAGTTCTACTCTGAAACACATGGAGTCGCCATGAGTTGGAATCGACTCGCCTGCAATTGCTGCTGTATTAGTTTCACCCATTTGAGGTGTTAGGAAGAATTGTGGCTCCAAAGATTATTCCATGCCCTAATCCCCAGAACTGCATAAATATGATGAGATATTACAGTCATGAATATGTTACCTTACATGGCAAAAGGGACTTTACAAATGTACTTGAGGTTACTAATCAGTTGACTCTAAAGTAGGGAGATTATCCTGGATTACTTGGGTGGCCCAGTGTAATCACAGGACTCCTTACAAGCAAAAGCAGAAGCAGTGGAGGAAATCAGAGATGCAAAGTTTGAGAACGACTTGGCGTGCTATTGCTTGTTTGAAGATGAAGGGGGCCACATGAAAAGAAATGCAGGTGGCCTGTCAGAGCACAGAGCAGCCTCCAGCCGACAGCCAGCAAGGAAACAGGGACATCAGACCTACAGCTGCAAGGAACTGGATTCTTCCAACAATGAAGGAAGTTGGAAAAGATCTCTGGCCCCAGAACCACAGCCCCAGCTGATACTTTCAGTGGAGCCAGACTCTGAGCTGAGAACCTAGCCATGCTGTGCTGGATTTCTGACCTACAGAAACCGTGAGATAATAAAATTGTGTTGTTTTAAGCAATTGCATTTGTGGTAACTTGTTTCACAGCAATAGATAATACAAGGGAATAAAGCAAGATTTGACATTTTTGGCCTTAGTGACTCTGCCGCCCGCAGTAGGCTAAACCAAAACCAACCATACCCATTGCCGTCGAGTTGATTCCGACTCATGGTGATCCCATGTATTACAGAGTAGAACTACTCTGTAGGGTTTTCTTGGCTGTGATCTTTTGGAAGCATATCTCCAGGCCTTTCTTCTGTGGCGCCTTGAGTTGGGTTTGAACCACCGACCTTTAGATTAGTAGTCGAACGCAAACCGTTTGCACCACCCAAGGACCTTTACTTAAGTGTACGGGGGCTGGGAAATTTAATCTAGCTGTGGGATATTTAATCTAGCAAATCTATCAAAAAGAAAGAATACTGTGAACAACCTGCTCATTTTTACCACAGGAACTTGGGAGCTGTAGTTATAAGGCAGTAGCATCTGGAAATCAACTGTTCCCAATTTTTATAAAACAAGCCTAACAGATTTTAGGGGCAGACATATTACATTTGGTATAAGTTGGTTTTTTTTTTTTTTTTTTAGTTTGCCTTTAAGTCATAAATACTCCAGCTCCCTATAGCCCTATGCATCTTGCCTTATAGACAGCTAGCTCACACATTTGTTGTTGTGTGCCCTTGAGTCAGTTCTGACTCTACAACCCTATAGGAAACCCATAGGGTTTCCTAGGCAGAAATCTTTACGGGAGCAAATCACCAAGTCTTTTGTCCCTTGGAGCGGCTGGTGGGTTTGAACCACTGACCTTTCAGTTAGCAGCTGAGCGCATAACCATTGTGCCAACAGGGCTCCTTCAGTTCACACGTTAACTTTCCCTTACTGGTTCCAAGACATACTTGATTTTGTCAACTCCAGGCCCAGACTCATTAAAGGGACAGTATTAGGTGTCTCAGAAAGGGGATATAAGGGAGAGAATACCTTTGAAAAGCAGAGAGAGAAAAGTTGGATTCCTGGAAACTGGAAAAATTATGATGGCTCCTGGGGGCAATGGGAGCTTCTGACTTGCTCCTTGGAGGCCCTATCCCTGCTGTGGGATGGAAAGACAGCAGAGACTATGGTTTCTTACATTCTCACATTGTAAATCTAGACCCTAGGCACTGGATTCTTGCAATTTTGGAAATTCTTATGTCCCAAGTGTGGTACAAGTTCAGCAAGAAGCAGCAAGTTGTCAGGACACATAGGGGCTATATGAACTGGGACAATAGATTTCTCAGTGGTTACTGGTGTGGGCTGATGACAAGGAATAACCTCTTCCTTGGTACTATTTATTTAAGACCCCAGGACCCCGTGCATGTGTGCATGTAAGTGTAGGTGTGTATGCTGGTTGGACCTGGAGTTTGAATGTCCAATAATGATTGAGTAGGTTGGACTCTCAAAGAGACATTTTGGTGAAAAATTGTAAATATATACCTCTTGAACACCTGAGTTTGTGGACTGAATGTTAAATCCGTTATACATGTTATATACGTTAAACTGTACAAACAGGTGCTGATCTAGCTGAAGCAAAGAGCGAGTATTATTAGTATTATTCAGGGCAAGTTGAGTACAAAATGACATCCCTTCAGGAACTAGAGGCCAGCTTACCAAGATAGAGGTACTTTGGCAAACTCAGGAAGCTAAGCCTTACCACATGCACAAAGGCAGCAAAGAGCATATAGACAGTCTCCCCAGTGCTATAATTCATTATTCTACTACCCGTAATCACTTGACTCACCTCTAGGTGGAGAGTCCAGGCTCCCATTTGTGCTTTTAAAATGATTTATTGAATACCTAGTAGAAGCAAGGCTTTGTGCTGAATTCTGTAGAAAACACAAGTATGGCAAGAGTTGGGTTATTCCCACATAGGTGAAAGAAATATAAAAGTGTGATTTCCAAAGTTAAGGGAGTTAGGGAGAGATCCCTGGGAAATACCTACATTTAGAACACTGAAGGAGTAAAAGGAATTTTTGAAACAAACAGAGAAAAACACAGAAGCTGATGAGAGTGATGAAGACTGCAGAAAGAAGGGATGGCCAACAATCGCAAAAGTATCAAAGAGATCAAGGAGAACGAAGGTGAAAAAATGTGATTAGGCTTGGAGGGTGGAGGATAACTGACAGCTTTTAACACAATTTCCTTTGACCTCTGAGGATGAAATTATGTGTCATAAAGTTTGAGAAATTACAGGCAGTGAGTACAAATATATGGAAGGCAGCTGGAGTTTTACTCAACACCTTACAGTTTTGTCATTGTATCTGACAATTGCATCTCCACCTTCCCTGCCTCCTACTTCCTTCCCTGTCTATCTCTAAAACCAAAACATTGCCATCAAGTTGATTCTGACTCATGGAGTGACCCCACCTGTTAGAGTGGAGCTTCTGTTGCTGGACGGGTTTGAACTGCCAGCTTTTAGGTTAGTAACTGTTTGCACCACCCAAGGACCTCTACCAAAATCCAAACCAAACCCGTTGCCCTTGGGTCGATTCCGACCCATAACAGACTAGAACTGCCCCGTAGGATTTCCAAGGAGGTGGATTTGAACTGCTGATCTTTAAGTTAGCAGCCGTAGCTCTCAACCACTATGCCACCAGGGTTCCCCAAGGACCGCTAGGCATGTTTTAGTCTCCCTCCACCCACCTCATTAATAACTGACACAAACTTAGGGTGTACATCCTCAACACATAGATTTGCTGGGGGCGGGGGTAGGTGAGGAGTAAATGGGCAGGCTCAAAACAACAAAACAGGGGACTAGTGGGAGAGATTTTTATTCTTCCCTGACTCTTTTGATTCTTGAGCCCTTAGAGAGCCTTCAGACAAGACTTCTTCCTGGTTGGCTTACTGAATGAACCCCTATAATATATAAAAGAGGAGGTAAAAAATGTTAGCACCATAGAAAAATTGGTCCATTAAATATTAAGTTGTGAAATGAATTGGTGTTCATAAACTAAAACACTAACATTGATGACATAAAGAGTTTAAATGTGACTTATTCTGCCACCCTCAAAAAGTTCTGATATAGTGTTAATATTTGGTTTGTCGTCATTTTATTTTAATTAAGGACAAATCCTTTGAGTGTTCTGCATGCCTTTCATTTGCTGGTGAGTGAATAAGGTAGCAACCACAGTTCAGAACATAGGTTGGAGGAAACTATATTGTTTTTCCCTAATTTGGTTCCATTACTGAGGGGCAATGTGGTATTAGAGTATATTCTGCATGTTAGTCAGAATCTTCTGATTGCTGATCTTTTAGGCAATATGACGTAGAAGTTAAACCCAGATCTTCTTTGTATAAAGTTGAACATACTGAAGTGTTTTGTTGCACATCTTGTTCTGAACTTAAATTGGCTAAATAGGCAAAATATGTGTCTCGTTCTGCGTTTTGGCAGGAGGAAGAAGGAAAATTTGACCTCATGTTTTCTGATTGCAAGTCCCTTGGTTTTTGGCCTCTAGATTCTATGTACCCTGGTTTGATGTCTCTTGTTTGCATACTGTCTACTTGCATATCTTCTTTTCGTGTAACTCTGGATTGAAGGTCTTGTTGGAGCTTATCTTGACATTGACTGTCTTGAATTAGACCTTCTTGTAATTGCTGATCTAGGTTATGTCGGGCTAGGGTGTGCTGGGTTTGGGTTTTTTGGTATAAAGCTCTCTGCCTTAGGGCTTCTTTCTCTAGTAGATCCTGAGATTGCCAATTTAAGGAATTCTGCATTTCAGATTGCCATTCTTGTGCTTTCCAGTCTTTGTTCCTCCAGCCTTGAGTTATCCAGTCTTGGGATTGCTGGCAGAAAGATTGCCAGCCTTGGGTTTTCCAGTGTGGAGATTGCATTTTTGGGGGTTGCCAGTCTTGAGATTCATGGCTTTGTGATTTCCAATCTTCACATAGATTTTTTGGAGCTTTCTTCTGTTGAGCTTTTTGTCCCTTGGCTTGCGAATCTTTGAGTTTTTCCTTTGGGGATTGTTCCCCATCATCCTGCTGACATTTATCTTGTCCCTTTGGGGATTGCTGAGCTTCACCTTGCCCATGTTGGGATTGTTGCTTTGGGGATTGCTCCTCTTGGGCCTGCTGGTCTTCAGCTTGCTGATCTGGAGGTTGCTGCATTGTCATTTGCTTATCTATGGCTTGCCCATTTGAAGACTGTTTTGTTGGGGATTGCCAGCCTTTGCTTTGTGGGTCTAGGGATTTCCGCTTTGGGAATAGCCATTTTTTGATTTGCTGGTCTATGGATTTCCTCCTTGGGGATTTCTGGCCTTGGCTTTCCTGGTCTAGGGATTTACGCTTTGGGGATTTCTGGTGTTGGCGTTGCAGGTCTAGTGATCTCCTCTTTGGGGATTCCAAGCCTTTGTTTCGTCTTTCCAGGGAATGCCACTTTGAGGATTTCCTGACAGGGAATCCCTCTTCATTCCATTCTTGGGTCAGTAACATGACTTCTGATCTAATGTCTTGATATAATACATCTTTAAATTGCTGATCTGAGGACTGTACAACATGAGATGTTGGGGCTTGTACTGAAAGCTCTTGGGATGGTGTGTCTTTAGATGATGTATCTTGAGATAGAGTGTCTTGGGATGGCATGTTTTGGGATGTTGTGTCTTGGGATGGCATGTGTTGGGATGTGGAGTCTTCAGATAGTGTGTCTTGGATTGGCATGTATTGGGATGCCAGAATATGGGACTCTATGACATGAAGTGTTGGGCCTTCATATAGCAAGGCTTGGACTGGCAGAGTTTGGGATAGCGTGTCTTGGAAAAACAAACCTTGCATTGTAGGAACAAGGGGTCCTTCAATTTTTAGAGCTTGGGATTTTGGTACTTGATATGGCAGGGCATGGGATGGCAAATCTTGGAAAAGCAAAACTTGTGTTGTGGGAACAAGGGGTGCTTCAGTTACCTGGGCTTGGGATTCTTGAATTCGAGTTGGCAAAGAATGGGACGACCAGTCTTGGAAAAGCAAAACTTGCATTGTAGGGACAAGGGGCTCTTCAGTTTTTAGCATTTGGGATTCTGGGACTCGATAATGCAGGGTATACGATGGCAAGTCTTGGAAAAACAAAACTTGGGTTGTGGGAACAAGGGGCCCTTTCATTATCTGGGCTTGGGGTTCTGGGACTCGATATGGCCGGGCATGGGATGGTAAGTCTTGGAAAAGCAAAACTTGTGTTGTGGGAATAAGCGGCCCTTCAATTACCTCGGCCTGGGATTCTTGGACTTGAGTTGGCAGGGAATGGGATGGCATATGCTGAATAAACAAAACTTGCGTTGTAGGGACAAGGGGTGCTTTAATTTTCAGGACTTGGGATTCTAGGAATCGGATTTTTTGGAAATAGGACTGTAAAGACTGGGATAGAAAAACTTGGAGTGGCAAAGGTTGGGCCTGGAGCAATCGGATTTGCATTTTTAGAGGTTGTACCACAGCAGGTTGTAGGTCTTTACTTTCCGGATTTTCAACTGAATAGCCTGGTTGAATGTACATAATATTTTCTGAGGGCTTTTTCTCTAATGTGGGAGGCAGAGATCTCAGCTCAGTATCTTCCTCTAAAAGTCCAGAAGGTGGTGATGTATTTTCCTGGTGTTCATCTGGTATAGGTGTAGGTGTGTAGTCAGTTTCCCCGTTTCTGGTCTCTGGCTGTGGCCTGGGTTGGGAAGCTAAAGGGCTTCCCGAGACTCTTAACTTGAAGAAAGCATAGCCTCCAAAGAAAAAAGCGTGTGTGTTTGTTACATCATCACTGGAAGACTCTTCTTGAAGCTCAAATTGTAATTGGGTATTTGCTTCTGGGGCAGGCAGTTCATTATTTTGAGCAACATCCGAAGGCAAGAAAAACACAGTCTATAAAACCAAGGAGGAGGGGAAGAAACATTAATATGACAAAATCATCTGTGATGTTCTTTTCTTCTTGTACTCCTAAATTATTTTTCATCTCTGCCTTAAGATAGTCGACTGAAAATAGAATCTAAATTAAGAGATAGAAAATAAATATCACTTCTGCCCTTACCATCAACTCATTGGTTTTATTTTGAACATGTTATCATCCCTCATTATCTAAAACATTCAGTAAGGGAATTTAAATATGATTATCTGAAATATTTCTTCCATACTTAATATTATACATTTTAAATCATCCATTTAATATTCATATATTTAGTTTTAATCTATATTTATTCATCACTTACTAGTTAAGCTAGATGCTGTGTATCAAAGATAATTAGATGTATGTGTTGCCTTTATAGTCCTCACAATCATGGGTGGACTGACATATAGATAACAGTACAATTCAGCAAATGCTATTATAGAAATTGATACTGAGTATTTTATGGGAACATAGATGAAGCTGTAATTCTGAGACAGCCAGGAAATGCTGCACAGTGGTGACAGTTGACCTATATCTTGATGAATGACTAAGAGTTCTTCAGGCAGAAAATGTAACCTGAAGTAAATTAGGAGTCAAAATCAAGGTAGAGGAAACAGTGGAAGCAGTAAGTGCAAAAACTACAAGTTTGTGATACACCGTGGTGTGATGTGAGATGGTAAGCAGTTAAACATTGTTAGATAGTTTCCTAAGCTAGGAAATTCAGGTTTTCCCTTATAGACAAAAGGGATCTGTTGGAGTTTTTTAAACAGCTAAATGACAGCATCAGGTACAACCTTTAGTCAATCCCTCCAATCCCCCACCCCACCCCACCCCCTTTTTGGGAAGGAGTTATTTACAGCCCAACCTGCTAATTTTTGGCAGCCTGTGCCCTTGATGGGGTCATTTATAGAGTAGGAATAGACTACCTGCTCTTTCAATGAAGTGATCAGAACTCTGAGTGATTAAAGATTTAGTTATGGTTACCTAGTTGGTTGGAAAATCCTCACAACTGGACTGATAAACGACATTATGATAAATGGAGAAAAAATGGAAGTTGTCAAGGATTTCATTCTTCTTGGGTCAACAATCAATGCCTATGGAAGCAGCAGTTAAGAAATCAAGTGATGTAGTGCATTGATCAAATCTTCTGCAAAAAGCTTGCTTAAAGTTTTAAAAAGCAAAGATATCATTTTGATGACTTAAGTGTGCCTGACCCAAGTCAGTTGCCTCATATGCATGCAAAAACTTGACAATGACAAAGGAAGACAGAAGAACTGATGCATTTGAATTGTGCTGTTGGTGAAGAATATTAAATGTATTTTGAACTGCCAGAAGAATGAACAAATCAGCCTTAGAAGAAATACAATCAACTTGCTCCTTAGGATCAAGGATGGTGAGACTTCATCTCACTTACTTTGGACATGTCATCAGGAGGGACCAAGGTGCCATGACAGTGGGGGAAAATTTTGCATTTTCAACAAATAGTGCTGAAACAACTGGATATGTCTATGCAGGGGGACATTAACTTATAACCTTACTTCACACTATACACAAAAATTAACTCCAAATACATCAGAGACCTAAACATAAAAACTAAGACTATAAAACTACTAGAAGAAAATACAGGAGAAAATTTTTATGATTTGGGGATAGTCAAAGCTTTGTTAGAACACAAAAAGTACTAATCATAAAAGGAAAAAAAATGATAAATTGCACTTCATCAAAATTAAAAACCTCTGCTCTTTGAAAGACACTATTAAGAAAATGAAAAGGCAAGCACAAACTGGAAAAATATTAGCAATACTTACATCTGAAAAAGGACTTATATTAAGAATCTATTATGCTGTTATAATTCAGTAATGAGAAGATAAACAATCTAATAAAAACTGGCTAAACCTGTGGGCAGCCATCTAAGATACTCCCCTGGTCTCACCACTTCAGGAGCAAGGGAGAATAAAGAGAACAAGACAGAAGGGAAAGATTAGTCCAAAGGACTGATGGACCACAACTACCATGGCCTCCACCAGACTGAGTCTAGTACAACTTGATGGTGCCTGGCTACCACCACTGACTGCTCTGACAGGGATCACGAAAGGTCCCGGACAGAGCTGGAGAAAAATGTAGAACAAAATTCTAACTCATAGAAAAAGACCAGACTTACTGGCCTGACACAGACTGAAGAAACCCTGAGAGTATGGCCCCTGGACACCCTTTTAGCTCAGTAATGAAATTACTCCTGAGGTTCACCATTCAGCGAAAGATGAGACAGCCCTATAAAACAAAATGAGACTAGTGGGGCACGACAGTCCAGGGACAAGGACTAGAAGGCAGGAGGGGACAGGAAAGCTGGTAGTAGGGAACCCAAGGTTGAGAAGAGAAAGTGTTGATATGTCTTAGGGTTGTTAACCATTGTCATAAAACAATATGTGTACTAACTGTTTAATGAGAAACTATTTGTTCTGTAAACCTTCATCTAAAGTACAATAAAAACAAACAAACAAACAAAAAAACCTGGCTAAAGATTTGAACAGAACACATCTCAAAAAAAGATGTACAAATGGATAATAAACACATAGAAAGATTCTAATCATCATTAGTGATGAGGAAAATGCAAAGTAAAACTGTAAGAGATACCACTACACCCTCACTATAATAGATAAATTGTTAATGTGACTGACAATTCCTAGTACTGATGACAATATGGAGCAAGAGGAACTCTCCTATATTGCTGATGAGAATGCAAAATGGTACAGCCACTTTGGAGAACTGTTTGGCATTTTCTTACAGAGTTTAAACATACTTACCTTATGACCTAGCAATTGAATCCTGAACACTACACTTCCAGAGAAATGAAAACATATATTCACAAAAAGACTTGTGTTTAAATGCTCATAGCAACTTCATTGGTAGTAGTCAGAACCGAGAACAATCCAAATGCCCATTAAGAGGCGAATGAATAAACAAATTGTGGTGTACCCATAAAACAGATACTATTCAACAATTAAAAGGCATGAACTACTGATGCTGAGGGAAAGAAGCCAGACACAGAAGAAGACTTACTTAGGATTCCATGTATATGAAATTCTAGAAAGTCAAAACTAATCCATGGTGACACATGATATTGACTGCAGAGGGGCTTAAGGGAACTTTCTGAGGTCATGGGAATGTGCTATATCTTGGTTGTGATGTAGCTAAACAGGTGTATACAATTAGTCAAAACATATTAAACTGTACACTTAAATGAGTGCGTTTTATTGTTTATTAGTTATACTTCCATAAAGTTGCTTGAGAATTTATGCTAAGGAGCCCTCATGGCACAATGGTTAAACACTTGGCTGGTAACTGAAAGGTTGGCGGTTTGAACCCACCAGCCGCTTTCTGCAGGAGAAGAGACCTGGTGATCTGCTCCTGTAAAGATTACAGTCTAGGAAACCCTACGGGGAAGTTCTACTTTGTCCTACAGGATTGCTATGAGTCAGAATCGACTCGCCGACAGAAAACAAATTTATACTTCTATAAAAAAGAAAAAAGAAAAGAAAAGCCTGAAACAGGGCCTGAAGCTGCTGTCGTGTGATATTAGAGAGGTCATTTAACCTCTGTGCCTTGTTGTTAGGTTGGTTCCACTCACAGCGACTCTGTGCCTTCGTCCCATCATATGTAGAATAAAGGTGCTATAATAGTTTTGTTAAGATTAAGTGAGCTCAAACTAAGAGCTTAGAACAGTGACTGACATACTAAACATTCAATAAATGTTAGCTATAACTATTCATTATTGTAAACTGTATTAGTATTACTGTTAATATTTCTCCTTCTTCCTTTTTCTCTGGTGAGGGAATGATCCCACACACTCTGATGACGCAGATCAGTTTCCCATGTCACAGTAACTTGGGTTCCCATTAAGTCTGGTCTGTCATATATTTTGGCCAGTAGATAATGAGCTAGATCTGAACAGAGATGACTGTGGATGGCATATAGGGCAAGAAAGGGAAGCATAATGGTCCCCCAAAGCAGGGTGAGCGTTCAATCTTAAGCTTGCCCCTCCCTCACCTTCCTAAATTTAGACGTTTCAGTTCAGCATTGGAGCATGCTTCCCTGCCCATTAATAGGTCAGAGGTCACCTTGGAGTGTCCCGACAGGAATCTACTCTCATATCAACATTGAACGCACCTCATTTGACTTTGTCCAAGACTTGTATCTAAAGGTTGCGATGGTCACAGAGATGCTGAATTCTACTATGCTGGTGATCAGTAAGACTGACAAAATTCCCTGTGAATAATAAAGAGAAAGAAATAGTATTTGGCATGAAAGGTGTATCGTTTTAAAGGTATATCCCAAGGACCCCTTATACTCCGTGACTAAGTATGGGGAGACCCATACTTCAGATGCTTCTGTAACCATCAGAGGTTGCATACTTTCCATCCTCTGTCTTTATAACAAAGCAGGGATAACAAACTCCAATGCATATAAGGGCCAGGCGGTCATCCTAAATGAGTGAAACAGTTTGGATGCGGGGCGGGGGAGGAGAGTAGAGAAGAAAGGCATTTGTAGGAGATATCCATTACTCAGTTCAAGCCAGTTGCTGCCTTGTGGGGATACAGACCACAGGATGTCTGGTCTTTTTTTTTTCCGTAAGGAAGCTGGATATACATATTTTTTAATGTGTAAATTTCCAATTATTTATTCACCTGTGTGAACCCAATAGAACATATCTGCAGACTAGACTTAGCCTACAGATTGCCATTTTTCACACTCTGCTTTATGGCAATGTTTAGACTGAGAAACGACCGAGTATAGCAGGGTGTTCAAAAAGTTTAGACTCTGTAGCAGAAAAGAAACTGGGTACAACTTACTAGTTAAGTGTGACCTTAGATAAGTGACTGACTCTCTTTGAATCACGGTTTCTCCAGTTGTAAAGAAAGGACTAATAATATGCAACATAATACATTTGCTGTGTGGATTATATGTCTTTAAAGCATAGCACCATGTCTGGCAATAAGAGGTGCTGAGTAAACATTAGTTCCCCTTCCCTCATAGATGTTAACGAGGTTTCAGCTATCTGGTGGCTTTCCCCTTGCAACGCATGCAAAAACTTGGATATTCTCCATTCACTGGTTAAACTGAAATGTATGAAGTGCCTACTCTATGCAATTTACTGGCTTCAACCATTGAACATGACACAGCTGGTCCTGGTCTTTGCGGAGCTCACATTCATAGTAGGGAGACGGACAGTAACAAATAATTAGATAATATTTACTTAATTAAATTGTGGTAAGTGCTATGAAGAAGTATTAGGAGCTGTGGAGTTTGACCTGAGATTAAAACATCAGGAGGAGATAATTAGGTAGGTAAGAAAGAGTGGGCACTGGGCTGGGGAGCATTCCAAGCAGGAAGAAGCTGGCCTTAGAATCTGGGGAAGTGGGTACTGGACACATGTAGGAATTCCAGGAAGTGGCTGGAGTGGGGAGTTAGAAAGATAAGGGCCTGTGATAATGGTGGAAAGATACGTGCTATAGGATCTTGTAAGCCTTTTAATATCTGGATCTTATGCCTATGTTTAGCAGAAGCCATTGAGTAATGTGCTCAGATTTGCATTTTTAAATGCAATATATTCTGGCTGCACTATAGACAACGGATTGGTTCTTTGGGACAAAGGTGAGTCCAAGAGATGTCTAAAGCCCACTGTTCTGGCTTTATTATCTTATTTATGACTTTGGGGTTATGGCAGGGAATCATGGAGTTATACAAGTAAAGTCTAGAAGCAGATTTTCTGATTCTGTATGCAGGTAACTAATCCTACAACCCTCATTCATGGCATGAAGCAGTCAAGCAGAGTTTCATATGTCTGCAGATTTAACCCTTTCAGTATACCAGTTTCTTCCTGAGTAAAAATTATAATGCTGCATGGTGCTCTTGTGTGATGTTCAATTAGGGCAGAATTTTGTCCCTAATATTGGTTTCTGGTTTTTCTTAGTAACCCTTTATGAGTCTGCAATTCTGGAAGTTATCTCAGAACATGAGAGGGTTTAAGGCCAACTTCAATGAGTGATTGTGTGAATTAAGCAAGATCACATATGCAATAACTGATAACTGTTTTCCCTTTCCTTCTTGTTGAAGGAGACAATTTCCCAAGATTCCACAGCATTTTCATCCAAATAGCCTCAAATCTCATTAAAATCCTAGGACTCAAGATTTCAAGGTACAGTTGATGGAAATGGAATAAAAGCCCAGGCAGCACTTACCTGGGGAGCTAGAGGGAAAGGATGATTGGAATCATTGACATTCTAAAAAACATTGGCATTGATTAATCGTGAGACAACTACTTAAAGTTGCAGCTACAATTCTATTTCCTGATAAAGAATAGAGCTTATCTGCTTTCATGAATAAAACTGCTGAATTTATATAAACTGGCATGTCCTAAAATTATTAAAGTATTTTGCTTTATTAAGTGGCTTAAACACCCCACACTGTACTTTCTATTTATTTTAGTGTTAATTGAGCACGTTTTTAGATTATTCTGTTCCTCATTAATGCTGAAAAGGTAGTACTTAATCCAACTGACGTCAATAATAAGAGTAATAGCTAAAACCTATTGACTGGTTACAGTGTGCCAGGTACTGTTCTTATTCAATCCTCACAACAGCCCAATGAGGTAGGTATTCTTATTATCTCTATTTTCCAGAAAAGGAAAACTGAGACTCAGAAAATATTCGCCTAAGGTTGCAAGCTTATAAACGACAGAATCAGGATTCAAATCCAGACAATATGACTCCTGAGTCATCTTAATCATCATCTCACAGCATGCTTCTCAAATGTCAGTTCAAATGCTGACACAGTCTTATCTTAACTGTTGGAATGAAAATTTAGGAGTCATTGTATTATGAACACAGTTCAGGTAAGATCATACAGATTCATCATACAAAATAAGACCACTTACAATCAAGAGTGTTCTACCTATAACACATATTCCTTCAAGGGAAGGCGTCTGGCAGAACTCGTGTTGATCTTTATAGCTGATAATTGTGAGAATAATCCCAGCTATCGCGATGAAGGAACTGATAACATTCATGACAATGGCACTTTGCCCCTGGAAAATAGTTATAAACAAACAAATAAATATCAAACACCTTGAAAGAAATTCCTAGTGCCTTCAAGTCAGAGGCTTGGTGGCGTAGTGGTTAAGAGCTTGGCTGCTAACCTAAAGATCAGCAGTTTGAATCTACCAGCTGCTCCTTGGAAACCCTCTGGGTCAGTTCTGCTCTGTCCTGTAGAGTCACTATGAGTTGGAATCGACTCAATAGCAACAGGTTTTTTTTTGTTTTTGTTTTTTTATGTTTCCAGATACCTCTTAGGGATGAATTGCTCTGTCAGGTCAATATGCTTGGAAGGCTTGGTTGGTTATGCCATGATTCATCAAAGTCAAAAGACAAACCAAGTTTTAGAATGGACCAGAGTGCCGAGAAAGGGAGTGGGTAGAGAGAGGAGTTCTCTACAGTTAATGCTAAAGGAAATTTTCATCGTATCCTGATGTGTTATTGTTCATAAACTGTAAGCAGAATGAGATGGATTGAAACAGTGGCTGCAACAATGCACCCAAAGAGCAATGGTTGTGAGGATGGTGCAGGACTGGGCAACATTTCCTTGTATTATATATAATATCGCTGTGAATGGGAGCTGACTTCATGGCACCTAACAACAACATCAACAAGAAGCAGAACTGTGAGGCAGAAAACATTCTGGCTTTGAAATTAGACCTGATTTTTAAGTCCTGGCTTTACTAGGACCTTGTGCAAGTTACCTAAACTCTTGGAATCTCAATTTCTACCTTTTAAAAATGAGAGGGCAGCTTCTGTCCGGAGGCAGGATGAGAAGGCAGGAAGGGACAGGAACTGGAACCCAGGGTGGAAAGGGGAAGTGTGCTGTCACATTGTGGGGATTGCAACTAATGTCACAAAACAATATGTGTATAAATTTTTGTATGAGAAATTAACTTGAGCTGTAAACTTTCACCTAAAGCACACACACACACACACAAAAAAAAAAAACAAAAAACAAACAAACAAACAAAAATAAATGAGAGTGATGACACCTAACTTTAGGGTACCAAACGAACAAACCTGTTGCCATTGAGTCGATTCTGACTCACGGTGACCCTGTAGGACAGAATAGAACTGCCCCATAGCGTTTTCAAGGAGCAGCTGGTGGATTCGAACTGCCGACATTTTGGTTAGCAGTCGAGTTCTTAACCTTTTTTTTTTAACTTTAGGATAGCATCTATTTATTCATTTCATAAACATTTAGTGCACACTATGTGTCAGGCACTGCGCTAGGCCCCGGGGACACAAAGATGATCAAGATGGATGATGTCCTGCCTCCGTGTATCTTACCTTCCCCAGAAGGACTCAAAATAATAATCAAATAAATCACTAACATATTTGCAGATGGTAACACATTTGAACTGGGTTTTAAAAGTTTCCTTTCTTGATCTAAGTGTTCTAATGTGGAAGGTATAAAAAATTCAGATTGCCCCCTTCCATTTTCTTTACTCACTCTTATTGTTTTATTTTTATTTTTGTATGTCTCAATTCCTTCAAAGGGAGGGGGCATTTTATTCATCTCTTCATACCCACTCCCCAAACAGCTATTGCTCTTTTAAAGGAAAAAAAAAAAGAAAACGTCTCATCTGAATTCAGTGGTTATTTACTCTACATTTATTGATTGCATAATGTCTGTTGTGGTGGGAAAAGCAATGATGCGTTTACACATCCTGTCCTGTCCGGAGGCAGTTTGGGACTTAGTGTGGCAGGCCTTGGAAGTCAACCTCTCACTTAATGCTTACCCAAGCATAGGTCTTTACTGCAAGCAGGCATTTTAGCAGAAAATGTACAGCGGTATACAGATATGCCATCTCTCTTGATAGTCCTTTGCTCTCTCAAGGCCCTGTTTTGGCTCTATAGGAGTATTTTGTTAGCTAAAGTGTTCATGTGTAATGGTTAATTTTATGTGTCAGCTTGGCTAGGCTATGGCTGCCAGTGGTTTTGCCAAACACTAGACTACTTGCTGTTCCCTAATGTAATCAAATGCAGTGTAATGTAATCATCTTCCATAATGTGATCTAGTGTAATGTGATAAATCAATCAGTTGAAAGGGGAATTCCTTAAGGTGTGGTCTACCTTCAGACTATAAATTGGTATTTTGGCAAAATCCCCTCTCTCTCTCAGCTCTGAACTCTTCGCATCACCTGACCTACGAATCTTGGGACACAAGCCTGCAGAAATCTCCAGCCTATGGCCTGACCTACAGATTTTGGATTTTCTAGCCCCACAATTGCATGAGCCAATCCCTTGAAGTAAATCTCTCTCTCTTTCTTTATACATATATATATGTATACACGTCTCATTGGTTCTGTTTCTCTAGAGAACCCTGACTAAGACACTAGGTAAGCAATCTCTCACGTCGATCGTGCTTTACAATTTACAAAGAACATACTCAGCCTAAGTCTCAGCTGATCCTCACTACAGTTTTGTGATGTAGGCAGGGCACTTTTTATTCCTGCTGTATAGATGAAAGAGGTTTTGGGATTAAATGGTTGTGAGCAATCCTGCAGTTAGTGGAAGAACTGCATCTGAAAGCCAGGATTTCTGATGCTCCATTAAGCATTCCTACCACTCTGCATCCTGCCTGCCTCCAGCTACACAGCTCTCATGGGGCCAGGGAGAAGTCCATCTTGACCTTAGAATGATTCTCATCTCTGAGAGGAAGTCAATACATAGAAAACAGCCATTGGGGCTTCATCTGCACTGTCTGCCTTTACCTGCGCAGGTAGAGAGAGAGATGGGTGCATTCTTCCCCTGAGAGCTTCCCTATGGCATGTAGCTGTCCCCTGAGGACATTCATTGGAAGGGGTCAGGAGGACAGAGTTAAAATAGCTTTGAGAAAAGGCACACATTTCCAGGGACTTAAAAAATCAGAGTGGTTAGAAGGGAGTACTAACATTTAAGTGTCATCGTGCCTTTTACATATGTTCTCATGAAATCCTCAAAATAACCATTAGAAGGAGGTACTTTTCCCTTCAACTTCACATAGCAATGAGTGATAACCTTGATTCAACTCTAGATTCATCTTTCCTTTATACCTCAGGCAGGCCCCAAAGGAAGCCTCTGCTGGTGTGGTTGGGGGGTCACTGGAGTCCTGGGATAGGTTTTCATTAGAGCAGGGCTTCTCAACCTTGGAACTATAGACATTTTGAGCCAGATACTTATTTGTTGTGGGGGTTGTCCTGTGCATTGTGAGATGTTTAGAAACATCTCTGGTTCTGACAACTAAAAATGTCTTCAGACATTGTCAAAAATTTCCTAGAGGGAAAAAATCACCCCCAATTGGGTTAGAAGGATGTAGAGTGTTTCTAATAAGCAAGTATTTCAGTCTACTTGACCAGGGAAATGGGAACCAGTGACACATAGTGGGGCTAAGGAAGTGGTGACCTTGACAAATAGGAATGGTTTGAACTGCAAATTTGATGAATAAAGATTTTCCTGGGAGACCTTTTATTACTAAAGGCTTTGTACACAGAGATGATATAAAGCAAGTAGAAGATTTTAAATTATGGAGACATCACACATGGGACTTACCAGCCATTTTTCTGTCTTCTTGATTCCTGTAAGGTATCCTGCCAGAATAAACTGTCAAGAAGACAAGAGATTAAAGTTAATGGGTGATGTGTTTGATTACCTTGTAACAACCACATAAAGTGCCTAGTATCACCCAGGGTAAACGAGAATCCTGTCACCCAAAGTAGAGTTACTTCATTTTCTTAAGGTTCTGGGGATGGGAAACCCTCCTGTGGGAATGGGTATTGGATCTTGGACATCTCTGAGTCTTGGAATCTGAGGATCTCAAGGAGATGATGCAGGGAGCTTAAAGTCACTTTTGATACCTCCCTCCATTTCACTCCCTAGATTGGACCACCATGTTCTATCAGTTCTACCTCTGAGTCACTCTTAAAGTTGTTCATCTCTCTCCATCTTCACTGCTGCCTCTCTAGTCCAGGGCACTATCTCTCCTCCCTTGGATTATTGCAGCCTCCTCCCAATTGATACTCCCATGTCTGATGTTATCATCATTGAATTCACTCCCCACTCAGAAAACAGAATGATATTTTAAAAGAACAAAACTTCAAATGTTATTACCCTTTTGAAAAACTGGCAATGGATTCCCTTTGGTCTTGTATTAAAGTTTCACATTCTTAATATGACCACAAGGGCTGGCATGATCTGGTCACATTTTTTGGCTTCATTTTATGCCCCTACCACAGACTCATTGGTTTTGTTTTTGTTGCTCTTTCGCTCTTTAGCACATCAAGTTCTCCCTGTGCTCATGCTTTGCCCTTGCCTAGGATGCCTCATATGCATGTGAAAGCTGGACAATGAATAAGGAAGACCAAAGAAGAATTGATGCCTTTGAATTATGGTGTTGGTGAAGAATATTGAATACAGCATGAACTGTCAGAAGAAAAACAAGTATGTCTTGGAAGAAGCACAACCAG